GGCTATTCCATGAAGTTTGTCTTACTACTGTAGGTTTAATTTGCAGGTGGCAATAATATGTTTTTTGATTTATTCTTTGTTTTGTCTGTTTGATACGTTCTTTGCTGAGCTCTTATGAAATACACTTTGCTCACTAATGGTATTGTATCACTTATCTAGTTATGTTGTAACTGATGTTAGTATATTCAAAACCTGTTAATGTAATGTGTGGTGGTGTGTTATTATGTCCACCATGATCCCAGTAAAGTCAGTGAAACAAGCAATGGTCAGGAAAAAGTGAATATATAAATGTTTTTTTTACAGTTTTAATGTTCATATGGGTTCATTGAGTTCATTTGTATATTGAGATATTGTGTCACTGCTGCTCGTTTCAAGATGTAAGGTGGTAATAGACTTAGATTTTTTTACATAATATCAGTTTGTCACAGATCACTCTTTTCATTTATTCACAGATGAATGTGATACTTTAAAACTTCAGGACTGGAATCAACATGCAGGAATACCAAGTTGGAAACTTTTCTCACACAACATTTTTTTTAATTGGGTTTTCACCACTTAACGAACACAGATGGCTGCTTTTTTTCCCTTTCTTCCTGATGTTTGCCTTGTCTGTTGTGGCCAATTCAATTTTGATATTTGTTGTTAAGACACAAAGGAGTTTACACTCTCCGATGTGTGTTTTAATAGGTGTCACATCCGTTGTCAACCTGTTTCTGACCATGTCTTTCATGCCAAGAATGTTGATAAGCTTTTTATTTAACTGGAATGGTATTTCTCTGTTGGAGTGTCTGGTCCAAATGTTTTTTATTAACTTCACTGGTTCATTCCAGTCATCCATTCTCCTCCTGATGGCTGTAGATCGCTGTGTCGCCGTATGCTTTCCACTGCACTATAGTGATTATATAAACACTTCTAATTGCCTGAAATTTTTTTGTGCATCTTTTATCAGAAGTGCTTTTTCCTTTGTGGTTATTTCTTTCCTTGATGGCAATCTCTCTTACTGTAACTCAAATGTCATGGATCGTTGCTTCTGTGAGCATATGGCCATGATGGGACTGGCCTGTGGAGACACTACAATCAATGGCATTGTAGGACTGTTAATAATTATTTTTCTAACAATTTTTGACTGGATTTTAGTTGTTGTATCTTATGTCAAAATCTTTGCTTCTGTTTTTTTAAAAGACTCTGGGAAGTCATCCCGTAAAGCAATCCATACCTGCACTACCCACTTAATAGTCTTGTGCTCATCTTACATGTATTATATATTAGCTACTATTTCATATCTGATTGGCAATGCAATGCCTCCTAATATCCGTGCCTTCTTGAGTTTAATGTATCTAGTTTTTCCCAGCTGTTTTCATCCAATTATTTATGGCTTCAGGACAAAGGAGATATGGAAACATATAATAAAAATACCCAAAAATATGAAGGTCACTCCATTCTCGGTTAAAGTGTCAAGTGTAACTCGAAAATAATTTATTGTGAGAATGTAAGTCTCTAAGTTTTCATTAAAACATACTGTAAGTGAAATTAAATGATTTGAGACTTTTTCTCCTTCCTTCCTTCTTTATGCTTATAATCTTACTGTACATACTATGCTTTGTTCTACAGTTTGCCACTTAATCTTTCAATAAAGTGAAAATGGTATAAATATTTGTTTAATTATGATTTCCTTTCCGTTCCAAACTTTTCACTATCATACAAATCTAGAGTAGTATTTACAGTATTCATGTCATAAAACAGATACATTTTATGCCTATTTATATGTAAATTAATTAGTTTATTGTATTATACTGAATCTGGAATCCATTATAAAAAATTAAAATTGTGCATTAATATTTTTTAATGAGAATATATTATTCCTACTGTACTGTACCTGCCAAGTGAATTATATAAAATTACGTGAACTTTTGGATGTTGTTACTGCTCTATACATTAATTCATAAAAATGTTTTTACTGCTTTAAAATTCCTGTTACAAAATTGGCTTTTCCCTTTATTTTTGTCATTTCATATAAAAAAAAAAAAACAAAGAAAGTTGCTCATAAGATCAGGGATGGATACAAACCATACAAGTCAGTTGTATAACCTTTAATAATGTGTCAAGGACTTGCTTGTAGAATCTAAAGTTTTCAGATGAACATTGTAAATTATAATTGATTGTAATTGTAATTGAATCTGTAAGTGTTCTGACTTTCACATAGTCATTCATAAGGACATTTTAATTCCTACAATCAATGTTAGTATTTGCCATGAGAGGAAAAATATGTTGTGTAGCGCTCTCGGGTTCACTTGGGTATGCGCCCTCGCCGCTGCTTCCTCAGGTTGGCCCCCCACAACTGATGGGGACTCGAACCCGGGCCTTCGGAGTCACTCAACAGGGACCCAGCCACTTGAGCTAAGGGGAAATCTCCAGTCTGCCCACCGGCTGCGGTCCCTGCTATTCACTGGGAAGGGCGGTGACGTCACCGCGCTGGTAAGCCGGCTCGCACAACCTGCAAGGCTGGCCGTATGCGCTACACTTGCATGGCTTTAAAATGTGAAGACTCACTGTGACCATATACTGTAGTCTTCACCACAGGATCAAGTAAAGATTTATTCCATGCTGTAACTGGAAGGTCGTGTGTTCCAATTCCAGCTAAGACACAGCTGTTTTACTCTTGAACAAGATACAGTACTTTACCTACATTGTTCCAGCAAAACACCTAGCTGTATAATAGAGTACAAGTGTAAGTTGCTCTGGATAAAAGTGCAAAGTATACCGTATAGTGTCGTGATTAATTCCTCTACATACAGTGCATCTGCCAATTCAGTGTGTTAAGATAGTTGCTAAATCACTAGCTGATTTGGGGGTAGGATTCAGAACTATTTTTAATTAGACACAGTGGATGAATTTGAAAGACAATTATACTTTTATGTGGAATATTATCCAGACTTCAGAAGAAAGCATTTTTTTCCTCCCATCATTGAGAACATAAATATTACTGAACACAATAGAGAACGTTTCTACAACACTTAAAGTACCCTACATTTGCCTTTGCTCATTTTTAGGAAATATTGTATCCCTTTCTTTCCTTCTGACTAGAACACAATTAAATTGCAGACAAAAATTAGATATCTCTACCCACATACTTCCTGTTTCCTTCTATACTGGTTTTTCACTGTGTTTTTTTTTATTGTACCACTACAAGTATGGCAAACCTCCGAAGCTTCAGTCCGTGTCACGATAGCCACAATAGCTCCTCTTAATGGCACTCCGACTATTTCGTATTTTACTTTATTACGTGCACCTGTCCCCTGTTTTGTCGGTCATTATTTAAGACTGGTGCTCTGGCTCAGCAATGGGAGATGGACGCCAGGAAACCCTGCTGGGGCCAGGAGAGACCCGTCAGCATAGGCTTCATCACGGCCTCCTGACCAGCTGAGTCCGGGGCTCGGAGTGCCTGGCCTTGTTACCCTGGTTTTATTCCCTGTCCCTGTTCTGGATTGTAACCTTGTGTGTCTTTTCTTGGATAGATCCCTAGTTCCTGGACTCTGGACTACACCGGATTTCCCCCTTGGACTGTCTGGATTTGTTTGCCTGCGCCACGCCCCCCGATCACCAGAACACCATCGTCATGCCCCCCTGTCTGTCATCCCATCCTGCTCCTGCTTCCATCCTGATCCTCTATGTCTCAAACTATGGTACCCCCAGGTGGTAATCCACATGACCCTGGGAATCTGTTGTGTGCACTGCACAATTGGAATGGTTTTCATATTTTCTATTTTAATCAAATTAGTTTGTGTCAAATATGCAGGCCTACGTACTACGATACAGCACATGCTAATACTTGAGGGGACACAGGAGCCATTATGTAATTCTATACCATTGTATAGGAATGCATGCTACGGATGTACTGTAAGTGACCAATTGTATAAGTTTTCTCCAGCAAATAGGAAGGAAGGAGAATGTGTGTGAGTTTGGAACAATGCCAATGTTGTAAGCACAGGAAAGCGTGATGGATAACAGAAAAATATTTAAGAACTGTTCTAGGTTAATTTGAGAAAAATACACTGTGTGTCTGTGTTTTGCTCCCATGCACATTAAATAATTTCTTTTAACTGCTAAACAGCTCTACAGATGCAGCCATTCAAAGTGCGCGGTACAGACACGTACCGGAGGTAATTAGCTACGGCGTCGCGCATCGTGACGCAAGATGATGCAGGGTACCACGGTACGTGATTGGTTGACCGACAGGAGCACTCATGGTCCGTTGGTCTGTCGTAGAAAGATTTACAGTAAACGTCTTTACTGTGTCTATTGTGGTATTGAATATTCATATGGAATTTTACCTCTGAAGGGAAATCTTAGTGCCTGAGCATAAAAAGAATAGGAGCTTACTGCAACGCGTGTGAAGTCCATAAACGATATTAATTTTGGAACTTAAACATACAGTATATGGCTGGTCTCGGTACTTTAAAGAAAACATACACACCAGTATTCCATTTCTCCCTAAACATTTTAAGCATCAAAGTCTTTAACTAACGTGATACCGGAGTCAACAAGCATACTTTTAGAATTTGATTAAAAGGGAATATAATATGGAATCGCGTATCTCAAGAAATTATAATAACGATATAATTATATTCATGTTGCAAAAGAACTGCAACGGACATAAAAAGTCCCTTGCTTTTAACAGAGCATTCCATAATTTCTAACTACGAAAATGATTTAAACTGCGACACTTATCATTCACCAAGAGCTCGAAATATCACAAGGATCCTCTAGAGCACAGCAAAGACTTTATTAAAAGAATCGCGTATCTCAAGAAATTAATAAGATATAATTATATTCGTGTAATTCGTGTAATTATATAATGCCAGTGAACTCTTGTTTTTATGTCCACTATAGCTACACTGGGCAAATGCCCAGTTCATCTGACATTTTCTTTTACGCTGTGGGCATTCTCCTGGTCTGTGTCTTCTAGGATATAATGCCAGCGAACTCTTGTTTTTATGTCCACTATAACAGACAATCTCCTTTGCTTTTAACCGAGCGTTTAATAATTTCCTAAAATGAAAATGATTTACTTTATTTCCCTCACGGGATCAATAAAAGTATCTATCATCTGTCTAAACTATGGGACAGAATTCTGGGGTCTCCCCATACCAGAGATTATGGTAGGGCTTCAGAATGGTGATTGGCTGACACCATCTGACACCCCTCTGATTGGAGAAAAAAGACGTGCTGGTTTGCTATACATACAGTACTGTACCAGGAAGTTTTCTTTCTGTTCAAAACGTGTATTTTAAAAGTTTAAGAAGTAAAAACCTTACAGCGTACACAGATTTCGTTATCTTTGTCTTATGCATAATAATGTTAACCGCTCTGTCTAGCAAATTAATAATAAACTTTATTTTATATAGCGTTTTAAACGAATAAGTAATTAGATTGCTCATAAACCTAATCACTTGCTTTTTCTTTTTATTTAGGCTCAGATTACAACTATAGATCGTATTATTAATAACCATAATAACAACCAACCAACAAAAACAACCATATAAACATAATACCAACCAAAAACATAGATAACGACCACAATACAAAATCAAATATATCAAACCATTATACTCTCGCAAATTCCTCCAATTATAATTATAATCCCGCCCCTTATGCAAAACCAAACCCTCCTCCCATCCCAGTTTATCCTCTTTATCATAAACAAAATCCACCTCGATTTTCAACAAAAAGCATTACTGCTTACTGGGTTTTTGAGGGGGGGGGGAGGTGTCTTTCGCTGGAAATCTCGCCTGCTTCTATTTTACTCAACCCCCTCTCTGCCGTAGTGCTGGCTGTGACGAATTAAACCGGTTTCACAGGTATTTTCAAAGTAGGAAGTACAGTGTTAAGTGGTAGCTGGGCTCCTAAATAGAATCGCTTTAACATGCTAATGCATTGGTTTAACAGTCCGGGAGTGGCAAGCTTCCAGTGTCAACTCTACTCGATTGGAAGACAATGAACGTATTTTAGCCCTAAATGAATTAATAGCAAACATGGTTTACATAAAATACATTTTTCGAAGAAAGTTTATAATAATA